CATTTCCGCTTAGTTTTTCTATAGATATCTTCCATTCTTGAAGTACTGAGCAGTGTTATGAAATCTTAGCTTTTCAATATCCAGCATAATAAATATTTCAGTCATTTCATACTGGGCTGACCTAGATGTAGAATGCCAGGCGATAAAGTCCGTGTAATATCACATTATGTGTTTTATAATACAGGTCATATTTGGATGTGCTTCCAGGTCATGTTACGCACACTGAGGTTACTAAGAAATAAAGAGATGGGATAAGTATCTGAATTGTTTTTCTGCTTTCCCACGCCGGTATTTCCCAACTCCAATGGCCTATAGTTCAGCAGATTTTCATGTGATAATCTATTATGGAAAAAAATTGTACAAAAGATCTTCAGACTGATGCCCACTTAGTTTCTATCATGTGGTTTGGTTGTTTCAAATGATCATTTACTTTGGCTTTATTTATATTAAAAGAGGGACAGATTCCTGAAATAGATAGCATGAGAGTTGTTGTGGTATGTGGAAATTGATGTAGGCATGCATCACCTTTATTTACTGTAAATATTTAGTTGGTTGAAGTGCACATATTAAACTAAAATTTTGTTTGTGATTGAGGAATTCTGGTTACCATTAGAAAAGATACCTAAAATATGACATTTCCAGTAACCTAATAAATTTACCAAAAAAGAAAGTGATCTGTTTAAAAGCAGAATGCAAAATAAAAGAATTGAATAGCCTTATTGAAATGCATCCATTTTTGCTTAAATATTTGTCTGCATTACCAGAGGAAATGGACCAAGGGTTTTCAGCCTTTGGATAAAAACTGGTTTTGAATTTTTTTCTTTCTGTATTCATATGCTAATAAAGGAGATAAAGATGTATTATCCTTACCAGCTTGAATATCCTAAGGTGAAGAAACTAGAACATGTAAAACCAGCTTGCTAAAGTAGGCCACAAACATTATGCTCAGATGAAACCAGTTATAGTGACTTTTTAAACATTTATAAGAACCCTTTACATGACTCTCCAGGTTTCAGTTCCCCTTTTTAGTTATAGTTCAGGTACTATTTACAAACATTATATATATGTGCTTAACTTGGAATAGTTGCCCATTTTTACTTTAGCAGCTGAAGTTATTTTAAAGAGATGAGATGAGTGATGTGTCAGTTAAATCAAAATGACTAACCTTATTATCACAAGTGATATCTATCTGATAATAATACAAAGTGTCATTTTTTATATTATGACAGTCATCTAATGAATAAATCAAGTTCCCATCAGCCATTATTTAGTGTGTAACGCAATATGAGAGTTTTCATGTCTTTGAAAGTTTGCATTTTTTTCTTAAATAGTGAATTTGTGGTGTACTTTGTATTTATAATGAGAAAATTTGGGTCACAAGAACTTTGATCGAGTATAATTTTTGGTCCCTCTGATATCTCGATATATATATGCTCACATTCTCCATATATATATGTTTAAAGTCTGAGCTGCTCGTTTACATGTTACTGACAATGTTGATCCAAGTCTGGTTCAGAGATAGGTTAATCACAATTTAAATAAATGCCAAGCCATTACTAATAGGTGTTTGAGGCCTATATTTAAAGTTTGCAGATTTATAACCTTCTTTTGAGTACTTGGTGATAGCATGCATAGTTGATAACCATAAGTTTCCCTCTGCATGAGGTGTACAAAATGCAAATTACCAGCAGATAACAGGTTGGTTAGGTGGTTGGAGATTTAACTCTGATAAAGTTATGTATAAAGAGTAAGATAATTTGGGAAGTACAAGTACATTTGCATACATGTACAGTTGCTAGAGCTGCATGATTGTATACCAGAATAGTACTAATGATGGCTGAGTAGTTGGTTAAAAGGACATCTCTTGAGAATTTTTGTCCAAATTGTTTTTGTTTCAATTTGAATGGCTTGTACACATTTTCCAAAAGTCACGTAAATGTTGCAGCGCATTTTATCATTTCCTATGATAAAAAAAAAAAATGTTCATGTTCCCCAGATAGTACAATATTGAATGTGTGATTATGGATAAATGAAAAAAAACAAAACAAACAAACAAACACCCTAAGGAGATATGGTTATTTTTCATTTACTATTTTCAGTCTAACAGATAATACTGTAATAGTGATACCTTGTCATAAATTCCAATCACCAAGTGCAACATACTTAATGGAAACAAAATAGTATTTATTGCTTTACCACTAACTAGGTGATGTGAAATGTGTTGGATTCTGCATGTAAATGAATTATAAATGAAAGTGGAACCCTTCAGGGCTGTAGGGGAAATAGCAATCTTCTGCTGATAAGGAAAAAAAGGAAATGTTTATTTTCACAATTTGTCAGCCTAGAAGAAATGTTTTATGTCAATGGGAAAGCCAAGTGTTTTTACTGTAGTAGGAAATGCCTCTTTAAGTACTGGAACACACTGGTCATATTGTAAGGCAAGATGTATTGGTTGAAGAAGTGAGCAGAAGCAAAGACACATTGCGCTTTGCCCTGTGTCATTTTGACCTATTCTCTCCAGTCTTTGTTACGATAGCCACTTGAATTACGCAAGTGGAAAAGTTTGAATTTCTGCCCTTATGGCAATTCTTTCACCTGGTGAAGGTAACCCGAGTTGTTGGTTTTGCAGCTCATGTTACAGAGGACCTTCTCAGTAAGGCGTGTGATGGCATTCAAGGAGTTTACTGGACCTTTGTGTCTTTTGACTGAAATTCATGCTATAAACTTATTGTTTGTCAACTGTCTGGCATGTTGCCTACTTGTATTTTGGGATTTGTGTGTATGCAGGAAGTAAATCGAGGTCACCAGTTTTATATTTCGCTTTATATCTAAGTTACTTCATGGTGGTTATTTGACCTTGGAACAAAGGTTGTCTTATGATTTTCTTGGCTGATTAATACTTAATTACATCATTGGATTGGATTGTGTTATCTAATTTGGATATGTCCTTTCAAGATTAAAGTTTAACTATTGTATTTTAAATGGCTCATTGTTAGTCGTACATTGTTCAGGTAGCACATATATGATGCAGTCAGTTGAAAACTTTTTTATTTCTGAGTAAATATTTGTAATTTAACAGTTAAATATGAGCTTAGTCAAGAACAGTGTTCTGAAAGACTTTCCTCTGATATTATTGGGGGTCAAACACTTGGCTGATGTAATGATTAGATGCAGAATTTGAAAAATCGGAGGCAGTTCTGAGTTGGAGAAATATCTATTTAATTTTGAATGGTCAAAAGAGAACATAAAATTATTTTCAGTTTATTAAATTTGACACTGACCATTTGCATATTGTGGTGAACCATTTTATTCATTGATAGATAGATAACTATAAAATCAGCTATGGATTTTAAAATGAAAGTCCTGTAGGTCCTGGCATACTAGATCAGACAAGTACACATGCGCCAAAAATATCTTTTAAAAAAGCTGAAACTGTAGAAATGATTTCATACCACCTTTTCAACATATTTTAGTTCAGAGCTAAGACCAGCTACCTATTAAAAACTGGATGAATATTGTATGATATGCAATAAAAATACACCAGTAATATGGCCTACACCTGCTCAATCTTTTCCTGTTTAGTAACTAGCTTTCCCTGTAATATATATGACCCCAGTGCCAGGCACACAAGTGTATTTTCAGATATTCCTGCTCCCATATTTGACTTCGTGGTATATAGATCTTCTTGCTCTGTAAAGCACTGGCACTTTCCGCTATATGCCAAGTAGACATATGAAGCAGGATGGTATTTAAAGTGAACCTCTGCTTCCTTTTTACTTTCATGCAGAACCAAACTTCAAACATGTTGCTTTTTTTTTTCACACATATGGGCGCCAAGTATTTGAGATATGAAAGCATCTGCTAATACAAGATTTATAATGGCTTTCAAGTTCACCTAATTTTAGATCTGACTCAATGACAACTTATTTGAAGAAAAGCTAATTACTTTTAAGTCATAGGTGCACATTACATGAATTTCCATGAGTTGGCTGATATATTTCATTTTGGCTTTCAAGTTTATTTTCATTACTGTTTGTGTCAGGAGTATAGTACAGCTAGTGGCTGATACGTGTACTGTAATTACTCACTTGATTCAATAAAAATTAATTTCTTATATTCGAACAAGTTTTTTATGGCTAATACCTGAGAAACAAAGAAATTATTTTAAAGTTTAAAAAAAGCAATGCCAGAAAGCTATTTGGGAGTAACTCAAAAGCCATTGGAAAGAAAAATGTAGTACTGAGATGCTTGAAATTTGAGGGTGATTATCGTATATTGAGTAGAGGTGTGAAAAAAATGATAAGTGAGGTGAACAACCCTTACTGGATATCCCTACTGGATACTGTTACTGGTTGCTGTTATTGGATATCACAGGTTATAATAAATCCCCTTGCTCAGTTGGGTATATGTCTGCTTTAGTTGTGGCAGACCTGGGAAGTATCTGCCTTGAGCCACACACTACTGATTGCAATTATTAATATTGATAATCAGTTTGCAAGATTTATCTTTTGTATCATATTGTCAGTTTAACGGTTATTTCATACATATGTGTTGAGCATGCCGTTCTTGTAGTATTATTCAGATCAGAAAAGCAACACAAATGCTTACCTTTTCATATCTCCCACCACCCACCCCACTCCATAGCATATTGCAAATGCAGCTATGTCAGGTTACCTGAAACATGTATTTAATTGCGGGGAATATAACTCTGGAATGACCTATTTTTAGGTTAAAGCGCCAGCGTGTCAAGTATGGGGAGGGGGGGGGGCTCAAAGAAATAAGTATCAGTAATTTGGAGTACAAGTTCGATAACATTAAAGGAAAATTTTCAATTACAAACTTTGTCTTTTTTATTAGGTATATTTTTTGTAGTATTAAACGTTTATACATTTGCATATTTATCCAAATGATATCCATGTGAAAATGTATCCATTTATGTATTCTTTAGAAATAAAAGGAAATTATAACTTGATAATAATGTGTGATTTTGTGCATTTCAGACCTTCACAGCATGGTGTAACTCCCATCTCCGAAAAGTGGGCACACAGATTGAAAATATAGAGGAGGACTTTCGTAATGGCTTGAAATTAATGTTGTTATTAGAAGTGATATCAGGGGAACAACTACCAAAACCAGACAGAGGCAAAATGAGATTCCACAAAATAGCAAATGTGAACAAAGCATTGGATTTTATCGAAAGTAAAGGAGTGAGACTGGTGAACATTGGTGCTGAAGGTAGGTGCTGAAGGACAGAGAAGTCATGATACAATTTGACAAAGTTCAGTAGCAAAGTTAGGATTCATTTTGATGAATGTCTTTTTTAATTTTTTTTTTGTTTTATTTTGTTTTATTTTTGTGCATGTGCAATGATATGGAAGTAAGTCCCCATAAAGAAAAAAAATTACATTTGCAAAATAAAAAGAATAAATTATATTTAATTTGTCGCAATTTGATTTCCCTTGCCTTAGTATACAAGCGTCTCATTTTAAATAGTTCAAACCAAGTTATCTGTCAAAATAGTTGAGGAATATCAGTATGTCTATAACCTGGTACGGAAGGCTACTGCACTTGAATCAAGGTGTTTAGAAAGCTGTATTCTATAAATGTCAGAAACCAGAAAGCAAAATACCAACACCTCCAAATATAGTTACTGGAACACACAGACCACAGCACTTTTCTAGACAATTTTAGCCTCAAAACTCTTACAAATCATCTAGATTTTTCTAAGAGTCCCTTGTGTGGATGTTTTTTATTTAGTCTCAGTGTTGCATCTCTTTGATTCAACACCTACGGTTCAAAACCTCAAGAAATGGTTTTAATTTAGGAGTGACTAGACAGACTGTTTTCTGAGATAAGGGGACTAATGGACCCATTTCTCTGCTGTACATGTAAAGGACTCAATATATACAAAAAGACAAACTTAAAAGACCAGAAATAATCTTACCAATTTTATGAAAAAAACAGGGCATGGCAAAACAATCCATTTGTTAGTTAACTAAGCTAATGTAGGCTGCTGGTAGTTGTTGTTATAGTGTCATTTGCCAAATCTTTCTTTGGATATTTTGAAATGGAGATTTAGAAAACAAATCCCAGAAGAAGTTGTTCTTAGAAAATGAAAGATTGCTAACTTTTCTCCTAGTGTATGGTTTCTAATGTTTTATCTGTAGGAGTCCATGTGATCTGTCTTCTCTGTGGCTGCCATTACATTTTATTGGTCTTAAGACTGTTTGGTTATGACATTGACCTTAGATATGGGAGTGAGAAGTCTAAAGCTGTCATGTTTTACATGTAGTTCAAAGTCTTGTTTGTGAAAGGTTTCAAGACTGTGTAATACGTTTTATCAAACATCTACTTTTGTAAGGGAAAAAGGAAAGGGAAACTTTTTTCAGTTGTGATATTCCTCTTAGACTATTGGTTAAGATACACTGTTCTTATGATTTCTGTTTTGATCAGATTTATGAAATTGGTCTGCTTTGGCATTAAGTGCTGGATCGTTGAAGGGGTAGTCAGGAAATTGTCCATTTTGTGGTCTATAAAAAGTTTAACTGTATGCCAAGGAACCTTTGAAACTGATTATGTTAAAAAAGTTATATACAGATTTCAGGATGGATGTGAAAAGGTGTGAGTACAAGATACTGATCAAAATCAAAAACATGAAGATTTGAGGAATATCTTGTTTCCCCTTGCCAGCTGTTCTCAACATAAAAAAAACAATCCTCTAAAATAAACAGGTGTTTCTAGATAATTTGTATCGGTAGAAGACCTTCAGGTTGAATTAGATGTGTTGCATTCAATATAAATTTCACTATTTTTGCAAGTTGAAATGCACTCCTCACCACAGGAAAATCTGTTGAGGAGTTAAAGACAGTGCTTGACTAAGGCTGCATTCAGAACAGACGATCTGCGGACTAAATGGATGCAGATCAAATATGGCTGACCACACTTGAAAGCAATACCGCATAATTCCCTTATTGTTTCCCTGTCTACAAATTAGATATCAGCTCATGTGTTTAATTACTTGGCCCCTGCAGGGCTGGCACGCGTGGTAGGTAAGGAGACCATTAGGGGAATGTACGGCATCACTTTCAAGTGAGGTCAGCCATATTTGAATGTCCCTAAGGGCGCATTCAGAACAAATTGATCTGCGGATGAACAGATATTCAGATCAAATTTGTCCGACTCACTTGAAAGCTTGCCACATAATCCCCTCATAGACACCGAATAGATTCCCATGGGGATTATGCAGAGAGCTTTCATCTGTTAGTCTTCAGATAAACTTTGGTTGTGGAAATGGGGAAATCTTATATTTGGTCTTTTCCAGTGTTGTTAAGGACAGGCAATTGGTGGTGTTCTTCTTTGAATATTGATGGTATTTTTAAATCATATTGCTGCATATGATTATATGTTATGCTCAAATACCAAGTGCCCTACTATGGACATATAAATGTTAAATAATTATGAGAAAGGTACTAGTAAATGAATTGCTCTATAAAGAGGGTGCACTTAAACAATGAAACGATTGGCAGACTGCATCGATTTTTTTGTGTAAATTATTGTATTCTTGCATGTCAAAAAACCATTATGGGTTTAGATTACACACTCATACCCTAGCTTTACATGTTAATTAAACCAAAGTGGTGTACTTACCTGTTGCACTTAAATTGGCATTTTGACAAGTTTTACTTTCTTTTTGTAACCAGTAGTTTTACATTAGCAGACAATTTTATGATAGTATTATTTGTTTGATTACTAAGGTGTAGTGGAAGCAGATGCATAATACAACCAAGGAGACATAAAATAATGGTTCAAATGAAAGAGTAGTTGATACCCAAGTAGTTCTGTTTGATTTACCTAACAACTTTTTACATCAAATGTGAATGAATGATTTGGCTTCTTACTTGAAATTTCCTCACATAACAAGCATTGGTTCTTACTTGAAATTTCCTCAAATAAAATAGCATTCTTTGAGCCATGTAATAAAGACCACATGTAAGCAAACTTTTATTTAATCAGTCGTAAAGGTTGTTGTAATATGAACAGGTTGGGAAAAATAAGCCTGATCTTCTTACATATAGCTCAGTCTTGGACTCAGTTTAGCAGTATTTTTTTGACTGATGAAATACATTATCTATACAAGATCCATTGAAATGTATCAGTATAATCAGTTATATGCAGTACTTCATTAATATGTGTCACCTTATTTGTCTGACATGTTGTGTTACAATATGATGCCATGTTGGGTAATTTAAATTGGTTGATTATTGTATTGAATAGTTACGGAATTACTTAAAATAATGTTATTGTTAACATAGACAGGTTATAATGCCCAGTGTCAAATCATTCAGAAATACTCTCATATTCTAGAAGATACGGCATAAAAGAATAACAAAGACCCAGTTCTCACATCTAGGCCAAGTGTATTATGATTTGTTGATTCAACAGGGAGAAGCACACATAAGTATGTGCAACACAATAAATACGTTTTGCTGCAGGAATTTGACCTTTATTCAAAAGAAATGGAATAACTCTTTTGACCTGGCATGCGTTGTAGAACGCAAACTTATGGCATGCACTAATGATGTCATGATTTAGTGATGGTAGCACCAGAATCACGGCCAAGTTCTACTAATCACTGTTGTTTGGCCTGTTGTTGAGTAATGAGACATGAAAAGCAAGGGTGAAATGGTTATTGCTCCTGGGCAAAACATGTTGGTTAAATTCTTAACCAGGGAGGCCATATTCATATTCTATATTTAGAGAGACAGAGTTTTATTGTTTGGCAGAAAATTTCTCTTTGTCATGCATCACCTTTTTATGGCTATGGAATCTTGTGAAAAGCAATCAGAAGAGGGGAGGGCATTTTTAGGTCCTTCAGTATCCAGTTCTTTAAATTTGTCCTTTTCAAAAGGGATAAAGTCGATATATTGAAAATAACCTAAAATGGCATAATACTGTGCTACAGTAAAGTAAATGGGCTGTGAAAGAATCAATTACATTAGCAAGGTTTTGCATACAGTTCAGCTATCATACTCGTGTTGCACAAATTTTGGGTCAGTAGACACCCTTTTTAATTTGCATTTTACAGGAATTTTTTTACAATATTTCACATCCATGGAGATTATTGCAGGAGGCAGTTTGCAACACCCTCAAGTGGGTGTAGTTGATACACCAGAAGCAGTGCATGTGTCATCAAGTATAACCACTTTGAGTCAGCTAGCTTAGAATATATGGATTAATAGTGAGCAAATTGAAACCATAAATACCACTTTGAATGGGGCACCAGAAGTAATTGAATTAGTTTGCAATATGAACTATGATAATGAATCATTTGACTGACTCCTTGTCTTTCTTTTAATCTACACTAGCACTGAATTGAGATAATTGGGCCTTGTTCTAGAACCGTGTGAAATAAATTACACAGTACAGTTTCTCCAAACTGTAGTTCAGCTCCCTCTAAAAAAAAAGCCACATTGCAGTTTTACTGGCCATATAATGTCACTGTGGTTTCCCTCAGTCAGATTTAATAAATTCTTTTTGAAGATGTAAACTTCGTGATGTAGTTACTTGCATTTTTATCCACTCTATGAGCTTAGAATGAAACAGCAGTAGGCTGACGTAGAGTACTATTAAACAAATCAGTATAACAACTTAAACTGAAACAATTTTCTGTGAACATGCCCGAATGCAATTACTGGCCATGGTGCTTGACCAGGGCCCCTTGACCACATGGCTAGATCACCTTTCCCCATACACAGCCTTTCTGTGATAAATGACTGTGGCCAGTCAACATGCCCTGTTCTGGCCACTTCTTAATGTGAGTGTGCCATGTGACCATGTGCACTAGGCTGTATACTGAGAGAAAAAAAACAACCTCAAAATATAATCTTGGATCCCATTAAAATATCTAAGATGCCATTCATCACTGAGACACCCTTGTGTTCTTTGTATGACTAAATCAACTTTTGTGTGTTCTTGACTCTGTGGTGTATACACAGTGAAGGAAAAATAGCCCTACTTAATGATAATTTTATATGGAATATGTTATTAAAACAAACTGTAAGAATACAAGCTGGCAAGCAATATATATAATATTAGTCTAGACATCTGCCCCTGTTGACAGTAATAAACGGTTTAAACCATTAAAATTTTGATAAATTATCAGGTGTTTAAGGCTTCGTTCACATGGAATGTCTATTTTCTAAATTCTATTTTCTATTCGCGGTATGTCTTATGATCACGGTCTGTAGTAACTTATAGTAANATTCATCTAGATTTTTCTAAGAGTCCCTTGTGTGGATGTTTTATATTTAGTCTCATTGTTGCATCTCTTTGATTCAACACCTACGGTTCAAAACCTCAAGAAATGGTTTTAATTTAGGAGTGACTAGCCAGACTGTTTTCTGAGATAAGGGGACTAATGGACCCATTTCTCTGCTGTACATGAAAAGGGCTCAATATATACAAAAAGACAAACTTAAAAGACCAGAAATAATCTTACCAATTTTATGAAAAAAACAGGGCATGGCAAAACAGTCCATTTGTTAGTTAACTAAGCTAATGTAGGCTGCTGGTAGTTGTTGTTATAGTGTCATTTGCCAAATCTTTCTTTGGATATTTTGAAATGGAGATTTAGAAAACAAATCCCAGAAGGAGTTGTTCTTAGAAAATGAAAGATTGCTAACTTTTCTCCCAGTGTATGGTTTCTAATGTTTTATCTGTAGGAGTCCATGTGATCTGTCTTCTCTGTGGCTGCCATTACATTTATTGGTCTTAAGACTGTTTGGTTATGACATTGACCTTAGATATGGGAGTGAGAAGTCTAAAGCTGTCATGATTTACATGTAGTTCAAAGTCTTGTTTGTGAAAGGTTTCATGACTGTGTACTATGTTTTATCAAACATCTACCTTTGTAAGGGAAAAAGGGAAAGGGAAACTTTTTTCAGTTGTGATATTTCTCTTAGACTATTGGTTAAGATACCCTGACACTGCTCTTTTGATTTCTGTTTTGATCAGATTTATGAAATTGGTCTGCTTTGGCATTAAATGCTGGATCGTTGAAGGGGTAGTCAGAAATTGTCCATTTTGTGGTCTATAAAAAAGTTTAACTGTATGCCAAGGAACCTTTGAAACTGATTATGTTAAAAAAGTTATATACAGATTTCAGGATGGATGTGAAAAGGTATGAATACAAGATACTGATCAAAATTAAAAACACATGAAGATTTGAGGAATATCTTGTTTCCCCTTGCCAGCTGTTCTCAACATAAAAAAAAAAACAATCCTCTAAAATAAACAGGTGTTTCTAGATAGTTTGTATCGGTAGAAGACCTTCAGGTTGAATTAGATGTGTTGCATTCGATATAAATTTCACTATTTTTGCAAGTTGAAATGCACTCCTCACCAAAGGAAAATCTGTTGGGATGAGGAGTTAAAGGCTGTGCTTGACTAAGGCTGCATTCAGAACAGACGATCTGCGGACTAAATGGATGCAGATCAAATATGGCTGACCACATTTGAAAGCAATACCGCATAATTCCCTAATGGTTTCCCTGTCTACAAATAAGATGTCAGCTCTGGTGTTTAATTACTTGGCCCCTGCAGGGCTGGCACGCGTGGTAGGTAAGGAGACCATTAGGGGAATGTACGGCATCACTTTCAAGTGAGGTCAGCCATTTTTGAATGTCCCTAAGGGCGCATTCAGAACTAATTGATCTGCAGATGAACAGATATTCATATCAAATTTGTCCGACTCACTTGAAAGCTTGCCACATAATCCCCTCATAGACACCGAATAGATTCCCATGAGGATTATGCAGAGAGCTTTCATCTGTTAGTCTTCAGATAAACTTTGGTTGTGGAAATGGGGGAAATCTTATATTTGGTCTTTTCCAGTGTTGTTAAGGACAGGAAATTGGTATTCTTCTTCTTTGAATATTGATGGTATTTTTAAATCATATTGCTGCATATGATTATATGTTATGCTCATATACCAACTTGGCAAGTGCCCTACTATGGAAACATAAATGTTAAATAATTATGAGAAAGGTACTAGTAAATGAATTGCTCTCATAGATAAAGAGGGTGCACTTAAACAATGAAACGATTGGCAGACTGCATCGATTTTTTTGTGTAAATTATTGTATTCTTGCATGCCAAAAAACCATTATGGGTTTAGATTACACACTCATACCCTAGCTTTACATGTTAATTAAACCAAAGTGGTGTACTTACCTGTTGCACTTAAATTGGCATTTTGACAAGTTTTACTTTCTTTTTGTAACCAGTAGCTTTACACTAGCAGACAATTTTATGATAGTATTATTTGTTTGATTACTAAGGTGTAGTGAAGCAGATGCATAATACAACCAAGGAGACATAAAATAATGGTTCAAATGAAAGAGTAGTTGATACCCAGTAGTTCTATTTGATTTACCTAACAACTTTTTACATCAAATGTGAATGAATGATTTGGCTTCTTACTTGAAATTTCCTCACATAACAAGCATTGGTTCTTACTTGAAATTTCCTCAAATAAAATAGCATTCTTTGAGCCATGTAATAAAGACCACATGTAAGCAAACTTTTATTTAATCAGTCGTAAAGGTTGTTGTAATATGAACAGATTGGGAAAAATAGGCCTGATCTTCTTACATATAGCTCAGTCTGGGCCTCAGTTTTGCAGTGTTTTTTGACTGATGAAATACATTAATTTGTACAAGATCCATTGAAATGTATCAGTATAATCAGTTATGTGCAGTACTTCATTAATATGTGTCACCTTATTTGTCTGACATATTGTGTTACAATATGATGCCATGTTGGGTAATGTAAAGTGGTTGATTATTGTATTGAATAGTTACGGAATTACTCAAAATAATGTTATTGTTAACATAGACAGGCTATAATGCCCAGTGTCAAATCATTCAGAAATACTCTCATATTCTAGAAGATACGGCATAAAAGAATAACAAAGACCCAGTTCTCACAACTAGGCCAAGTGTATTATGATTTGTTGATTCAACAGGGAGAAGCACACATAAGTATGTGCAACACAATAAATACGTTTTGCTGCAGGAATTTGACCTTTATTCAAAAGAAATGGAATAACTCTTTTGACCTGGCATGCGTTGTAGAACGCAAACTTATGGCATGCACTAATGATGTCATGATTTAGTGATGGTAGCGCCAGAATCACGGCCAAGTTCTACTAATCACTGTTGTTTGGCCTGTTGTTGGGTAATGAGACATGAAAAGCAAGGGTGAAATGGTTATTGCTCCTGGGCAAAACATGTTGGTTAAATTCTTAACCAGGGAGGCCATATTCATATTCTATATTTAGAGAGACAGAGTTTTATTGTTTGGCAGAAAATTTCTCTTTGTCATGCATCACCTTTTTATGGCTATGGAATCTTGTGAAAAGCAATCAGAAGAGGGGAGGGCATTTATAGGTCCTTCAGTATCCAGTTCTTTAAATTTGTCCTTTTCAAAAGGGATAAAGTCGATATATTGAAAATAACCTAAAATGGCATAATACTGTGCTACAGTAAAGTAAATGGGCTGTGAAAGAATCAATAACATTAGCAAGGTTTTGCATACAGTTCAGCTATCATAATCATGTTGCACAAATTTTGGGTCAGTAGACACCCTTTTTAATTTGCATTTTACGGGAACTTTTTACAATATCTCACATCCATGGAGATTATTGCAGGAGGCAGTTTGCAACACCCTCAAATGGGTGTAGTTGATACACCAGAAGCAGTGCATGTGTCATCAAGTATAACCACTTTGAGTCAGCTTAGAATACATGGATTAATAGTGAGCAAATATTGAAACCATAAATACCACTTTGAATGGGGCACCAGAAGTAATTGAATTAGCTTGCAATATGAACTATGATAATGAATCATTTGACTGACTCCTTGTCTTTCTTTTAATCTACACTAGCACTGAATTGAGATAATTGGGCCTTGTTCTAGAACCGTGTGAAATAAAGTACAGTTTCTCCAAACTGTAGTTCAGCTCCCTCTAAAAAAAGTCACATTGCAATTTTACTGGCTATATAATGTCACTGTGGTTGCCCTCAGTCAGATTTAATAAATTCTTTTTGGAGTTATAAACTTCATGATGTAGTTACTTGCATTTTTATCCACTCTATGAGCTGAGAATGAAACAGGCTGTGCAGTAAGCAGTAGGCTGACGTAGAGTAATATTAAACAAATCAATCTAGCAACTTCAAACTGAAACATTTTCTATCAACCTGCCAGAATGCAATCACTGGCCATGGTGCTTCTGGTGCTTGACCAGGGCCCCTTGACCACATGGCTAGATCACCTTTCCCCATACACAGCCTTTCTGTGATAAATGACTGTGGCCAGTCAACATGCCCTGTTCTGGCCACTTCTTAATGTGAGTGTGCCATGTGACCATGTGCACTAGGCCAGTCAACGTATACTGAGAGAAAAAAAACAACCTCAAAATATAATCTTGGATCCCATTAAAATATCTAAGATGCCATTCATCACTGAGACACCCTTGTGTTCTTTGTATGACTAAATCAACTTTTGTGTGTTTTTGACTCTGTGGTATATATACACAGTGAAGAAAAAAATAGCCCTACTTAATGATAATTTTATATGGAATATGTTATTAAAACAAACTGTAAGAATACAAGCTGGCAAGCAATATATATAATATTAGTCTAGACATCTGCCCCTGTTGACAGTAATAAATGGTTTTAAACATTAAAATTTTGATAAATTATCAGGTGTTTAAATCTATGTTGTATAATGGAGGTCATTGTTTTATATTGAATATAAATAGATATTTATTTTATATGTAAATAACTTTTTCAATTTATTTTTCCAGAAATTGTTGATGGTAACTTAAAAATGACCCTTGGTATGATCTGGACCATCATCTTAAGGTTTGCTATCCAAGATATTTCAGTAGAAGGTAAGTAAAACAAGTAATGTTAAAAATAAAACTGCATGTTTCGTCTAATTGTTAGCAGGAACAGATGTTTTTTATGGGAAATGTATTTGAATTGTCTCATTATTTTCTGCCTGTTTTCAGTGCATTTTTTCCTGATAGACAACATGAAATGTCTGCAATTGATTGAAATGTACAAAAATATCTCATAACGCAATGTTGCTTAATTTGAAGTTGCCTGGATTTAATTGACTGAAATTCACTGTAAATAAGAGAGACTTTTCAGCAAAATACAGTTAATGGTGAAGGTTGAATTTTGATTTAAGTGAACTTAGTCTTACAGCTCTACCATTTTTCCAACTCTACCATTTTTCAACTTCAACACTTTTCAGACATTTTCTCCATAATTCAGTGTCATGTCTCTACTGCACTAGGATAGTAGAAAGCTCCTCAGAATGCTCAACTTTTGAATGTTTTTTCCTTCACAGAATTGACTGCAAAAGAAGGTCTGCTGCTATGGTGTCAGAGAAAGACGGCTCCTTACAAGAACGTCAACGTCCAGAACTTCCATCTTAGGTAAGAGCTCTCCTGGTTATTGTTGGCGTCTGCTGATTGATTAGCGGAAACTCTTATTTAATGTTTGTATAAGAACAGCATGTCTTCTATTAATTATTTAAGATGAAAGTCTCAGCATATTGTTTGAACCAGGAGGATCTGTTGTTTATTAGGAAGTTTCTGTGTTTGATGAAATAAGGAATCAGGAAGGCGCCAAATTTTACCAACAGTGAAATAAACTCATTGAGAAACTTCTGTTTTTAAGGGTCATTGACTGTTGTATGAATCTATTTTAACATCAATATATATCTTGGCTGATAATTTTAAGTGTAGATAAGGGTATTGTTTAATTATCTCATCAGCAATGTAAAAGATGAAGTACTAGATACTAGATAACTTGTTTAGAGAAACAAGCATATTTGAAGAATGAAGGTACCAATATTTGCTAAATGATAATTGTGTACATAAATTCCATTGTTATATCAAAGATGTGGCAGGACATGCAGGTTTGTGTGAATTATTTACTAGGGCTCATTCTTTGAGGAGGGTGTATGTCAATTATTCATTTTGGTTATTTATTAATTTGGAATCCATTGTTTTTCTTTGTTGGATTACAGCTGGAAAGATGGCTTGGCATTCTGTGCCCTGATTCACCGCCACAGACCAGAACTCCTTGATTACTACAAGCTTTCTAGGGTAAACTGGCCACTTCGCCTGATCAACTTACCCGTCTTATTGTTATTGAATGATTTTTGCTATGGTGTGATGTGGTTCATTTTGAAAAGTTTGTTAAAGAACTCATTGTGATTCACTGATAAATTTTGCAAATTCATTCAGTTGAGCCGCCTTTTTCATGTAGGTGCCCTGGAGGAAAATTTAATTATAACATCATGTCTTTTTTATGCACATTGCTAATCAAAACTCCCTCCTGAACTGGGTCATCATAATAAGTTCTTGTTTTGATGTATATAAGTGTCAAGGAAGTGAATGTCGGGAATGAAAAGAAAAACTGTACAATGTCTGAAAAGGAAGTCTTTTGAAGAAGGAAGATGAAACTGATATATGTGAAACGATTTCAGAGGAAGGACAAGTTTGGCTTGTGATTGAAAAGGAAAGGGAAAGTTGAAATTTGAAAGTGCTCATGTGACTGACCCATTTCAACATCAACTGTGCCTTTCAGTTTCAACCTCCAAAACAAATAGGCACTGGGTTTTGAAAACGGTGACCATTTCCTTGCTAAAGACCCCTTGCCCTGTTTCTTTGCTTTTCTAATAGCATGTGGCGTTAGGCAGGCATGAGCCCTGACGTGATGGACTGTACGCAGTGACATCAGTTCTTGATTTACGTCTTCATAAAAAAGCAACCTGAAGACCAAAGTTCCACGGATGCCTCCGCTGTTTCATAATGTTACTGCTATTGCATGTATTTAACATTTTTCTTTTCATTTTATTTTTAATCATTGATATACTCTGTTCCAGCTTTATTATTATAATAATATTAATTATTATTCCTTTGTTGAAGATAAGTTCATTTTTTTGGTCAGTTTAAGCTGATCAGTAGATTGCTTTGTAGTCCATTAATTTTCTCCCAGCCTTGCATGTACGGCCCTATTTTCCCTGTTTTCCAGCTTTAAAGATGGCTTAGCATTCTGTGCCCTTATACACAGACACAGACCTGAACTTCTTGACTATGACACTTTGTCTAAGGTAAGAATAACATCTTAGATAACATAACATATTTACTCTACAGGTCACCTTCAGGTTCTGGTGTGAATTGATGATGTTCAGATATGAGTTGATAAGTTAAAGTAGATCTTATTATTAACAATGCATGTCTGATATTTGTTTAAATGTCATGTTCGCATTTGGAGTCAAATGTTTTCAATTGATTTGATGCCTGTGATGTGTGTGTTGTGGTAGGTGAGAGTTGTGCAGGACAACTACCGCATTGCATGATCACCAACTGGTTGAAAAAATTTTTTAAAAAAGATGAGGAAAATCATCAACATGTCATTATGAATACAACCTAGTATTGCATATAGCCTAACCAGGCCCAGTAATTTGATTTTCCATCCTTTAATATTGAAAAATATACCTTAAGTGGGTTACATTTGCTTACAGAAATATTCAGGAATATGTATTTTATGAAATGCATTTAATGTAAGCCAAGGCTGCTTCAGTTGAACTCACCATGGATAAATACTTCTTTTTTTATGTATCAGTAAGCTGATCTATTTCATTTTTCTTTTTCTTTTCATACTTCAATAATAATAATAACAATAATATGTTCATAGATTGTAGAATCTCTGTGTAATTGGGTGATAGATTTAATTAGCACTTTTAAAGTACTTACATTGCATAGAATTTGAAAGATTTAATCTATTCCATCAAAAAGAGGTGCATTTTCCTAATTTTCTCAGGATAATCCTCTGGACAACTTGAATCTGGCTTTCGATGTTGCTGAGAAACATTTGGATATTCCAAAAATGTTGGATGCAGAAGGTAATTGCATTTTTTTTAAATTTAGACTTCAAATGCAGATTAAAAAAGTTACTTAACTAAGCTTCAAACAGTTTGAACCAAGATTAGGAAAAATGTCTAGGAAAAACTTTACTTGTGAAAGAGAGTCAGGGTTTCAAATCCCCACTCTGTTGCTGCTCATTTGCCATGTTTTCTTTCTAGACATGGTAAACTCGGCCAAGCCAGATGAAAGATCAGTGATGGCCTACGTATCTTCATACTACCATGCATTCTCTGGGGCCCAGCAGGTAGGTTTTTAAATGAGTCTCTGTATTGTATATTGTATATTGTATCTGGATATAAAAAACAAACAATAATGAATGAGTTAATTTATACCACTACTGTGATGATTTTGCACAATACATGGATATCAACTTAGCTAAGACATTGATGTAAAAGGTGTAACCTGGTTCTTTGCACTAAAAGTATGGCTTTGTTTGTCTGGATTATCCATTTTATTGTGCTCCATGAATTTGTAAAAATATGTATCCTGGTTTGATTGAAAGAACACCTTTTTTGACGAGAAAATTTTAAATTGTATGATTTTCTGCAAAAGAGTATTTGGAGGTAATAGCAACCATCTTTTGATTTTAGGCTGAGACTGCAGCTAACCGTATCTGTAAAGTGTTGAAAGTCAACCAGGAGAATGAAAGACTCATGGAGGAATATGAAAGAATGGCCAGTGATGTAAGTATAGGAATGATATTGAGGAACTGAAAGCATTGCTACTGTATTATTATGTTTTGTTATGAAAGAGTTTGAAAAAAATTATATTCAATACATTTTCACTTATGGCATCAGTTATAAATAGATCTGTATTGGCAAAATATTAGTCAAATGATATGCTTAATATTACATATGTATACGAAGAGAAAAAATGAGGGCACCTAATTTTGAGATATCATTGCGTTTTTAGTTGCTGGAGTGGATCCGACGCACCACTCCCTGGCTGGAGAACAGACACACAGACAACACTTTGCCAGGGACACAGAAGAAATTAGAAGAATTCCGTGATTACAGAAGAAAGTACAAACCTCCCAAGTTGGAGGAGAAAGCGAGGCTGGAAACCACCTTCAATACCTTACAAACTAGATTGCGCCTCAGCAACAGACCTGCTTATCTCCCCACAGAGGGCAAAATGGTCTCCGATATTGCCAATGCTTGGAAGGGTCTTGAAGGGGCAGAGAAGGGATTTGAGGAGTGGCTTCTGTCTGAACTGCAGAGGTAGTATATATATATTTTCCCCCAAAAAAAAGTTGTGTGAAATTTCCTTTGTTTTACATTTCATATTTTAGATTCACTGTCTACTTCCAGTATGTTGACACTTTTTCATTAAATAGAAAAATTTCTTTTTTATAATCATGATATCAAGAAGTTTATGTTGACTGTGCTCCATCCATAATCCATCTTAATTCATAATTATTTATTTATTTATTTATTTAGTTTTTGTAAGAAAAAAAAGACATTGTCAAGATAATATATGAAATAAATTTGATACTTTAGAATTGAACATCTTGACCACGGGTAGCACACACCCAGTAGGTGGGATTGCCTCTCCAGTCCTCTTGTTCATTTTGCCAAAACAATATTTACAAGTTAATTTGACTTTTAAGATTGGAACGCCTTGACCATTTGGCTCAGAAGTTCAAGCACAAGTGTGACATTCATGAAGAATGGGCCTTCGGAAAGGAAGACATGTTGCAAAGCCAGGATTTCAAGAAATGTCGACTGAATGAGCTGAAGGCCATGAAGAAGAAACACGAAGCATTTGAAAGCGACCTGGCAGCTCATCAGGACAGAGTAGAACAGATCGCTGCTATTGCATCAGAACTGAAGTAAGTTTTTACCCAAAGAAGAGAAAGTTGGAATATTTAAGAAAGTCAAGTTCTTAAAGCTAAGGCATCAATGATAAAACTCTTTGATTATTGTAGTAAGCTGTTTTGAAATAAGAAAAGGTCTAAAAATGAAAGCTTGTGGACAAGCTCAACTCCTATGTTACCTAAAACCAACATTGTAAGCATCTTTGACTCAAGGCAGTCAGATGCTAGAGATATTTATGTTATTTCCAAAAATTTGCTCACATGTTTAAAAGAAGATCTGTACAAATTCATGTGTTCTATGAGTACTGTTCAAAACAATTTCAGTAAAATGTTATGTCAAGTGATCACATGCCACTGTATCATAATCATTATCTCTGTTTCATTATTTTTAGCACCTTGGATTACCATGATTCGCCATCTGTAAACGCAAGGTGTCAGGTATGGTCATATCTTTTAAAACTTACCCTCTTTCCATGCAGCACTGTATCTTATTCAAACTCTTAACCTTTGTGCTATTTGTAAAATTGTATACAAATTATGAACTTATTTTATTTAAGTAAAATAGATAAATTTTGTAATTTCACATTGATCATCCAGCAAAAAGGAAATTCTTATACGAAACTAAAAATTGGCAACCTTTGATTTATCATATTTCATTTCAGTTTTATTAATTTTGTTTTAGCGCATTTGTGACCAATGGGATGCCTTAGGTACACTAACACAAAGGAGAAGGTCGGCTTTAGAGGTAATGTTTGCATCTAAGTATTCCATATATTATAACTTACAATATTTTTAATCTTCTCTAATGTATTTATGTCTCCTCGATCTATAAAACACTTGAAAGTATTATAGACAAACTCAGACATTTGAAAGTATTAATAAAAGACGAACACAAGTATGATGTTTGAAATTTGGCCAATGATGGCAGCATTTAGCATAAGGTCCCACTGATAAGAGAAATGATGTAATTTAGTAGGTAACTTTGAATAATGTTAAGTACTGACATTTATGTAATGCTTAGGCCTGAAAAAAATTACATTCACATATAATGCCCATTTGTGGGGTTTAATAGCTAGTAGTCAAATATTGTCTCGGTATTCACTCAAGGATTTAAACAATTGCTATTCAACATATTATGTTTTTTATCTTTCATTAAAGGAGGCTGAAAGAATTTTGGAGAGAATTGATACACTTCACCTTGAATTTGCCAAAAGAGCTGCTGTAAGTATTATATGTAGCTAGGAGTTTTGGGGAACACTTGTTCAAAAATAAACTAGGAATCAGTTGAATTTTATTTGTTTGGGGCAGGTTATTTACACCTTTCTCATTATTTTGATTTTGAAAAAGAATATGGCACTGAAAGTGAATTTGATGTAAACACAGTTATATGTTAAAGTAAAAGTTTTCAGTTTTGGAATTGAATTTTGCACTATTGCATACCCAAGTACTGAAATCAGGTTTAGTGCTATATAAAGAAATTAAATCAAGCATTGTAATTTAAATTTCAGCCTTTTAACAACTGGATGGATGGGGCAAAGGAGGATCTGGTGGACATGTTTATTGTGCATACCACTGAAGAAATTCAGGTTAGAGGGATGAGAAAGATTGTATTGAGTTGTTGTCTTTATTTGAAATGTATAAAGTTCTTACATGTGCCTCTGTCTTTTGAAAAGAATACAAGTAACATAAATAGTTTTTGTAACATGGCATACTTTTCTACTGAAAAGTCTCTTCGATCAAAATATATGGCAGCTGAAAGTTTGACGAGTTATCAGCTAAAAACTTTGTTGTTGTGTTAAAGGGGCTATTAACATCAAAAGCATTTTCATCTGTATAATGCACTAAGGTAGAGATTTTAAGTTGTACATTTTAATTTGAAAGTGGTCTTTTCTTATTAAATAATAATAATAATAATAATAATAATAATAATAATAATAATAAATTTGCTTTCATCTAGGGGTTGATAGATGCCCATGAACAGTTCAAGCAAACCCTTGGAGAGGCAGACAAGGAATTCAACTCCATCATTGGGCTGGTGACCGAGGTGACTCGTATGTGTCAGCAGTATGACTTGGTGTTGCCAGAAAACCCTTACACCACACTGTCTGCTAAGGTGAGACTTGTGAAATTTAGTGTCCCCACAAGCTTCTTGTTGCCCAATTTGTCATTGGGAAAGCCATATGACATTTAAACTTTTGAGCACATAGGTCAACTGCACTTCATTTGATATAATTATAAAACTATTTAATTTGTTTTGACAGGAGATTATTTCTTGTGTTGTTGAGGTCATATGGCTTTTCAAATGTGTTAATATTTTTACTCTCTTTTTGCTTTGTTCTGTTCTGTTTTGTTATGTTATGTGCCGTGTACGGCAGTAGAAATATCAAGATTTCAATATGTTTACAATGGAGGGGTTGGTGAATTCTCTTGAGCTACATTATGTTTCACCTTGAGAACAGTTAAAAACTATTCGGATTTCCCTAAAAAATGTTTTCTGATATCATTTAGGAAAAAGTCTTTAAAGATTTCCTGAGATTATTTTTTGAAAATTTGTCATTGTGTTGTGCATTTTTATACTCTCAAGGTAATGAATTCTTTCATAATGGCATTTTTGTTTGCAATTATTATGAAATTTTTAGATTTATTTAAAATAAGCATAGATATGATTTGTAAGATATTTTGTTGTTATTCTTGAACGACTCATTTTTCATACGTTTTTGAATTTGACTGAATTAAAATAAAAAGTCTGTTTGTTTTTTATATTAATTGAACTAAAATTTATTTATACATAATTTAGGCAAATATTGTATCTCAAGAGAACTTATATAGAAATCCATAATTTAAGATTGGGTATATTGGTCAGATTTTTTACAGCTTGGGATGCTTTGCATAGTGCAATGTTTGTTTTTATGATTTAGCCTCCTTTTTATTCCTATGCCTGTACACACCCATACACATTCATTTTTACATGTTAATATAATTATATATTTATTCTTTATATGATCCACCCAGATTGCTTTTGGAATACAATTACACAGTATCTGATCTTGTCTAGTGTGCTTGCCACTTTGATTCCCAATACTTTAGATAGATGCCCAATTTGTTAAAAATTTAATCAAGCTTGTTTAGTTATTGAGTGACATTGGAATGCTGGAATTGAAACAAATATCACATAAATATTCATTTGCCTTGAGGTTTGATGATAGCATTGCTTGGGGATTTACAACCCCCTTGTTTTGAATAACTTGTACCTCTGTAAACATGGCTGCTAATCATGAACATGACAGCCATAGTGACCTTGACCTGTGACCCTGACCTTGCTCTGATCTTCACAACTATGTTATGTTTTTCTTTCTTTGCCTTGGCCTTGCAGGAGGTTGGTACTCAAAGTGAACAATCATCTGACGCGGAGTCAGAATGCATGGTAATTGGAGTGGTGCAGAGCTGCCATTTTGTGCTTGTTTAGCTGTAGTTTAGATATGCTAATCACCTTTTTAACATCGCTAACACACATATATATTTTATCTCCAGCGAATATTAAAGAAATAACCACTGAGAGAACAATTTGGTTTTCAAGCCGATATATATTTTTAATTGGTTTAACTTTAAAACATATATTGCCAATTACAAATTTTGATGGGAACTGTGAGGGGAATTTTCTTGAAAAGAATGGAAAAAGTAGGTGCTAACTTTAGAATGAAAATATAGATGCTATTTTACAAATCTTATACCATGTATTAACGAAAAGAAAAACAGACTGGCACACAATATGGCACATAATGCTTTCGCTGTTTATTGGCAATGCTTTTACAGCCAGTGAAATTAGTGTGGATATGTCTTGAGAGAAGTATATGAAAGCATCAGTTGATCAGTATTCTAAGCATAAAAATTAATACAAAAGATATTTTCACCAGTGGGGTATTTCTTTGATATTTTTTTCTCTGAATATAGCAAGTATGCACATAAATCTGTTTGTAAACATTATTTGTATTCTGCCTCATTTCTGATCAAATCTGGAAATGGGGAGGGGGGAATTAAACGATAAAATGTCTCACAGGGGTTGTTGTAGTGCAAGAATTTTACAAACTAACATTTTGGCCATGTTCAAATGGGTATTCATCTTCGTGATATGTGTATGCTTCATTCATAGGGTTTGCATTTCTATTGTTGTTGTTTTTGACGTGCTTCTCACATGCACTGATTAGAATCAACATAAACATACTTAATTCAATCACTCCTTGAAATTAGTGATTGGTCAGTGCAAAAAATTTTTTTCTGGATCTTCGGAACTTTCAAAAGAGGCCATGGCCATAAAATGACTTTGAATATTCACAAAACATATAATACCAAGTGTTATGGATTAAGTGCACGTGAATTTGTTTTTATGTTGAACTTTAAGCAGTGCATTTAATAGCCTGTACATTTTTTATCTTTGTAATAATTAGATATTAAAAGTAACAATTTCTACTAACTTGTTTGAAATTATAATTATTTGTATTTTAATATGTTTTGTTATGAAAAATCGGCAATTAGAATTAAATGAAGGTGAGCAAAATATGTGTGACCCATTTACACCTACATCTTTAGATAAAACAATAATTGTGTTGTGTATAAATACAGCATGTATGTAGTCTTATGTGTCATGGTTAATGTCTATACAATAGTCAACTGTGAGTAGTGTATGTAGTGATAGTTCCCCATGGTTGTTGTGCCAATATCCCTGAATAACAGATAATCATGTGGCTAAAAAACATCCACAACTCTCTGTTACCAGGACATTGCATCCAAATGGGAGGAAGTGAAACTCTTGGTGCCACAGCGCGACCAGACCCTCCACCAGGAAATGCTGCGCCAACGTAACAATGATCGCCTGCGCAATCAGTTTGCAAATAAAGCCAATGTGGTCGGTCCCTGGATCGAGAAGCATCTTGATGCGGTGGCATCGGTGGGCATGAACACAAAGGAGTCCTTGGAACAACAGATGCAGAGGCTCAAGTCGTACGAAGAGAATGTTCTTGCCTTCAGACCTAACATGGATGAGTTGGAGAGATACAATCAGGTGTGCATTGTTTTGATTTGTAAACAATATATATACACTTTTTAATTAATGTGTAGAGTTTTAAAGACTGCTGCACAGTGCTTGTATTTGGAAGCTTGATGGTCAGTTACACCATGTTTGCTTTATGGTTCTTTTAACTTCTATCATTTACTTGTCACATTTTGAAAAGTAAATAAAATATTCCACATGATTTGATCCAGTGTCCTTACTGTATGTAAATTTGTAGGAAATAAAGAAAAAGATTAACAAGATGATTTAAATCATTATTTCAGGAAGTACAAGAAGCTATGATATTTGACAACAGATTTACACAATACACCATGGAAGTAAGTAGGAATATAGTTATGATTCTGTAAATAAATGGGATAAGTTCGATATGTTGAGTTTGATGTATTTTAAATAACTTTTGACATATATTGCACTGTCCACAATATATTCTTTTAATGAGTACACTTAAGAACAATGGAGTTTTGAAGTTTGAAGACAGCAAAAAAAAATGGTGGAAAATGTTCACTAGATTGCATTAGAAACACTGTATTATTTAAAGTTTTAAAATGATTATATTAAACTTGTTTCCATTTGATTATTATTATTATTATTATTATTATTATTATTATTATTATTATTGAAATGGCACTAATGAATATGTTCCATTTTAGACCCTGCGTGTAGGCTGGGAGCAGCTGGTGACATCTATTGCCAGAAATATCAATGAAGTGGAGAATCAGGTGAGACAGTGGATCGCTACTAATTTTTTTCTGTTATGCTAAGGACTAAAGTTGTTTGTGTTATTTTGATGAGAAGCATCAATTTTGCTATAAGGAAAGGTGTTTTGTTGCCCATTCTTATTCTTTGTCAATACTTAAACCTTAATTCTTTCATTTTGAAAATTTGAAAAAAAAATGTATGTTAGCTGTTTAGTAAGTGTAGTTTAGATGATTTTAAACCTTAATCTTAAGAAATTATGATTTCAAGTAAAATTACAGCAATTATCAAGTTTTCAAACCAAATCATTAAATTGCCAGCCAAACACTTTATAATAAAATTGCCAAATGTGTGTACCATAATTGTAGAAATATCACATATATGCATGATGATATTACGATAAAACCTAAACTGTTTTCACCCTTTTCATCAACCTTTGTATCAGATCATGACCAGAGACTCCAAGGGCATCAGCCAGGAACAGATGGAGGAGTTCAGGAAGTCTTTCAATCACTTCGACAAGAATCGCACCCGCTCTCTGGAGGGCAAAGAGTTTAAGGCCTGTCTTATTAGCTTAGGTTATAACATCAGGGATGATAGACAGGTAAGCTGTGAGAAAAATTGCCCTCCCCTCCCCAAGGCGATTGCATGTATCATTCATTGTTTCTTTCCATTTTTAGCAGCAACTTTCTTGTCGTATTCATATCTTTGCAAATTGTGACAATGGAGAAACTTCTTGTTCTAAACTTTCAGTGACCCTTAGAGTTGCGGCAACACAGTGGTTATGTAAAACAGCAATAGTTGCTCTGGTCATATTCAGTATCATATTAGTAAATGGATAAATGTTCATGAGTATCTGGCTTAGAAGCATTACAAGAGCTATTGTATTCATATTTACTGCTGGCAGGAATTATAATGTCCGATTTTGAGTTTACATTCTAGGAAAAGACTGGAATATTTGGTGATCGTATTTCACCCTTTTCCTTTTAAAACCATGTTGTTTTTGACTGATAGAGGCATTAAAGAGTCTGATTTTGAGTTAAGATACTAAAAGATTTAAGACTATTCTGTCAAAGTGATAGACATCAGACAGTAGTTCCCCACCCCTGCCCTCTCCCAGTGACTATTTCCTGTTCATACTACTGTGCCTCGGATCTTGAATAAAATTTCTATGTATAAATTTTTTATTATTGTATAAAATACTATTAGGGTCTTCCATTTTATAATGATGCCTATTTTATTTACTTCCAGGGTGAAGCAGACTTCCAGCGTATTATGTCCATAGTAGATCCAAATGGCACTGGTAGAGTGACATTCGATGCCTTCCTTGACTTTATGACCCGCGAGACTACTGACACCGATACTGCTGAGCAGGTCATGCAGTCCTTCAAGATCTTAGCTGGAGATAAAGTAAGATATTGTTTCACAATCAGGCACCTTTATTCCTTGTACAAAGTTGTTTTGAAGATATAAAATTCACAACATTTTGAATCAGTACATACATCATTTTTATGCTTGCCCTGTGTGGCACCCCAGATTAACCATTGATCAATGCAATACAGTAGAATCCATCTGGTCAAGGTCACTTAAAATTATATTCCCTGAGTTACCATAGGCTGAGGCCAGAGTCAAAGCAAAGTTTGTTACTCTAAAAGAGCAGCGCATAGAACTCTGTGAATCATTCTTTGTGAAAATCAAAAAAATGACAGAGACAAGCTGAATTACCTATTAACCTGCACACCACACAGAAAACAAAGGTATAGCCAGTCAAATTTTAGTGTACCAAAATTTGGAACCGAACATTTTTTTTAATCCCCTTTGCTTTTATCAAACTTTGAGAGGTTTGTGCTTTGTTTATTTTCGAACTCATTTTGGTGACAATGGTCTTATTGTAAATCCTTTATTTTATGTAAATTTGTAAGTTTTATTTTAATCCAGTTTATGTACAACTTCAACCTTTTGGTTGCTGTGTATTAATAAACTTCTTATTTAATAAGAATTGGTTGCCAAAGCTTTACACAAAGGACATGTAAAAACAAAATTTTCATTCTTTGGTCTTCTAATAAAATTGGCATTTAGTTCATGTCTTGATTAAGAAAAAAAGTAGGGCTTAATAAAACAGCATTTAAGTATCTTAATATGGCTCAGCATAAGGGGCTCATCAATATTTTATCCTTTCTTTAGCCTTACATCACAGCGGAAATCCTGCGTACAGAGTTGCCTCCAGACCAGGCTGAATACTGTATCCAGAGAATGGCACCATACTCCGGAGTCGACAGCACCAAAGGAGCTCTTGACTACACTTCCTTCTCCACAGCACTGTATGGAGAAAGTGACTTGTAAGCAGCAAAGGATTACATGCTTGATGCCTGCTTAAAAGTTATCATGGCACCCAGCTCCTTGGAAGCAACATCTGCACTGTTAAAGGGGGAAAGAACTACACATAACAGTTATAACAGTAAAGTTTTATTAATGGATGAAAGGAAAAAATTGAAATAGAACTTGTAGTTCACCAGTCTCCTATTTGATGCCATATTATTATGCTTGTTAAATCTTTACCAATTATATGAACTGTGTTAGATCTAGGTGTGGGGTGTAGGTAGTGAATGATGACACCACAGCTTGTTTGTAGATCTATCTTCTGTCAGATCCTGACAACTTTGTGTTGATTCATTTGGTCGTGAACCCTCTACTGTCAGATACAGGGGGTTGTCTGACAGTTAGAGGGCAAAGTGATCAAGTATTTGTGTATCTTTTGTATGTATATTTCCACTGTACACGATTAAAAAAAGCTTGAGATATGTCTTATGTATATGGCTGTACATGTCTCCTTTTGTATGATGCTGCACTTTGCACTTGTAAATGTGAAACACTTACTGATCATAAACTATCTCTATAGAAAGCAACACATTTACCCAAAGTACATGTTGGGGTGTTTTAGTGTATGTATAAGGGCTATAATGAAATTGAATGCAAATTATTAAAACTATGCTGGGTTGGGGTGCATTGTAGAAGCTTAAGAACTTGAGTTCAAAAGTTAAGAAGACTGAGCAGTAGCTGTAGGAGACCTTTTATTTAATGACTGACTAACATACTGAAATGATTGGAGAACATGAAAACCTACATTGTAGATCAGCTGTGAGATTTAAATGAGGATCAGAGGAAGGGCTTGAGGTCTCCCTTCATGATTAGCATGAGGGATATTTATCTGCTTAAACACCATTTTATACTTATTATAATGAATAGTACTTTGTAAAAAAATGCTCAAGTAATGAAATATATATATGAATAAAAAATGGGGCTTCTAGAGTAGCAGACTACGAGTTGAGGTGTGTATTATTCAGCAGACTTTTCACAACTAATCCGATGTAAGCTCTCTTTAGCAGAATATTTTGAACATCAGACAGATCAGAAGTGGGCACAGCATCTGCTCAAGAGAGCTTGCACCACTATTTTGAGAGTTGTCTATTAAGGCTATTTCTCTATTTTGAGAATACTGTAATGACCCTTCTGAATGGGAATAAATGAAACAACACTTATCCATGTTTGGTTTTGTTTGTTTTTTAATTTGGTTTTTAGTTTGAAAATGTGGTCAAAGAGAAGTAGGTCACATTTTTGTTTTATTTTGACAATGTACTTTGCAGAAGATACTTTTCACTGTGGCATAGACACATCACCACTTGCATAAATTGCTGAACACGATTATTAGCAGTTTGCATTCACAGAACATTACTGATGCACAAACCAATTATAGATTTTAACCTTACAGTGATGGTTTAACTCTGCATACTGTAATAAGCAGGAATTTTCTTTTCTCACTGTGGTGATGAAAAGGGAGTAGTTCAAATTTGTTACTTAACAAGTTCCATATAATTGCTTCTTCCAGCAATCCAGAATCCAATTAGACCTGAACAAAGCAGTGTAAAGCAACTGATAACACTTTATGACATGTCAAAGATTATTGTTAACCGAAGTGTTATTAGTCTTTCCCCCCAGCGTTTGAAAATGTAAGATGTCGACCTTGAAAACATACTTGAATCCATCATCAAAGGCAGACTGTAATGAAAATGAATGTAATTTGGGTCTGTTAGTTGTTTATTAGACAACAGTGACCCTTACTTCACAGTAGATCTTCTTGCGAATCTGTGTTACACTTTTAATACAAGTCGGTCATTACTTCCTTTTTTTCCTTGGGCAACTTGCAAAAGCTGAAACTTGCCCTTTCTTTACACCCCTACTGATAGAGCAGTAACTCCAGTTGGTTGACTTCAATGTAAAAACCAAATTTTACCAGGCAGTTGTGAAATCTTGGGTCCTTTAATCAGTAGTAAAACTCACAAAAAAAACTTTTTAAAATAAAATTTGGGCAGGTACAAATTTAATTTTGCAAATCTTCAATGGGTGTCAGACAAATAGTAGGGAATATGAACATGACATTGGGACAAACTACATCCTTCTGGCAGAAATTACAAATGGGAAGACAACACAAGCAAAGCATGTGTACTTTATTGACCGCCATGAACATCTCAAACTGGATGGGAGAGAGGGGTGGACTTAGTGATGGATTTTAAACACACATTAGGTACATAAACCACTTCTTGTTGAATTTATCTGAGGACAAGTAATACTTTTTGATCATATTTTAACAAATACCATAAATACATGTCACAAAAAATTAATTGACTACCTCCTGATGATTCTCAGTAAAATTAAACAATCTGGACAGTTTAACATCTAGACAATCGAAAAGTCATTGTGAGAATTGAGTTGGAAGGGATGCCAGAATTTGAAAAAGCATTGGTTTAGCATGTGTTAAGGACTTTCTAATGTTCCCTGATTGTTATGGAGTCATAGCGAGTGTCAGGAAAGGAGGATTAAAGTTTGGTTAGTTACATAGCAAAAATCTCTTTAGGTGATACATTGGGAACATATTTTCATCCTTGTCGTTGTGTTAAAACCCCCATTCCTCCCCCGCCCCCTCAAAAAAAAAAAAAATAAATAAATAAATAAATAAAAAAATGTGAGAAAGTAGCAAGGGAATGAATATATAAACATTATCACAGTTTTTATATTTGCTTTCTTATTAAGACTGCTGAATAGCAACTGACAATATCATGTCTCTTAATAATGATTCCCATGTAATGATACATAGAGGGTGGCTGTTAAATCACCATAGTTTTCTAACAGCTCAGTGAGAAATATTTCACAGACAGATAATTTGATACTTTTTTCACGTGGGCGTCTCAATTATCTGAAGGTTCATTGGTTCGAAAAACCATATGCACATGCCTCTGATGAACTTTACTTTATTGCTGGTACACTATATTCTTTATTGAACATTCGAACCAATGAACATTCGGACTAGTGCTATGACCCATTTTCACGATATGCAATTATTCAACATCTATGTAACTTGAGTAAAGCCAGCCTTTTTTTATTCTGTGTGCAACAATATTGGGGGAAGAACAATCAGGTACTAGAAAAAGACGAAATTAAATAAAAGTTATGCAGTATAAAAGAAAAAGGATGCACTTTTACGCTGAAATTGACATATTGTATGTACGCTTGTAATATGGGCCTTTTGATTTTACTCCATATGCACATTTTGGTGACTATTGATTATTAAAAATGATCAAACTTAAATTTCATAATTTGACAGCATCAGATTCCATTTGGAAAAGCTAGCAAAAAGAAAATGTCACTCAAACCCCATACATAGTGACCAATTTATGGTAAGAAGCCTGTGAAACAAGTAGAGCATATGTATGGCCTGATCTGGTTCATAAAAGGATAATTGAAGACGGCCTTTGTACTAATAAAAGAGACAACAGGCTGTAGATCAGACCATTGCCAGTGCATGACAAGCGTTGTAAACCACAACAAATAGCAGACGGCAACACCTCATCAAAGAATGAAGATACTAACATGCATCCCGAGGTAAGTTTTGGTAAAGACAACAATATGCATTAGACCTGTATGAAATAAAACTTCTCCTTAATCACCAAGGTATATTCTATCCAAACCTATCGAGATAGCAACCAAAACTATTGAGATAACAACCCATCAATCCGTTTTCATGTTCTTAATTCACCCAATCCCAAGAGAGTGACCTGGAATTCAAAATTTGGTTTATAGATTAAAATTTTGTCAACAGTCTTGGATATTATGTGCCTAGGTGGTCCAAAGGAAAGTGTTGAAATTCATTGAAATTTATTGCTTTATTCAGGTCTAACGCCTACAATAGTATTTTAATGATAGATTTACTTTATGTTTATTGATATTGAATGGGAACCCGTTTGTATTTACAATTAATTAATAAGAACAAGAAAAGTGCAATGATCTTTAATTTTGTCATTATTGCTATTACAAACATTACTGACATGACAATATACATATAATGAAAGTTGGTTAAATCTCAAAAGTTTTTCTTATAAATGTTTTAGGGCAACATTTGATGCTGAACACAAATCTGAAAACTATTTATTTCTACATTAAAGAGATAATAACTCTTCGTATGAGATCTAAATTTCACAATAAAAAACATTGTGAATAACTCATAGAAATATAATATATTCTGTTTTACTACAAAAATGGCAATTATAGCTATTATTCTTATATCTGAGCTTCTCTTTAGACCACGTGACCTCCATTGGTGGCTATACTCTGTTAAAATCTCTTAAGAGATTTTAACTAAAAAACCAAACTTTTTAGAAATAAACCAGGGACTAACTTTGAATGTAAAAATGGATTCATTAACCATTGGTAAGTATTGGAAAATTGATGTTTACTCCAGGAAAATTCATTTTTGGGCCGAAACGAAGAGTTATTATCCCTTTAATTATTTAGGTTGGTAAATTGACAATTTTTAAAAATGGTAGACAAAATGGTCTATACCTAGAGTTTCATCAACAACAATTGAAGGCACTATGGTGTGCCACATATGCCTTAGGGGTTTTAGAATCCATTTCTAATGTAACTACCAGTACTGCAATGATTGTTATAAAAATAGTTGTCAGATGTGTGTTTGGCATCAATTTCTGCCATAGAAAACACTTCTTAATCAAAACATTTCAGCCTGTTTTTGAAATACACCTCGGTAAATTTAAAAAGACCAAACTCATCAAAACTGAAGTTTTTGAGTCTGCAGCAAACAAGCTCTGTTAGATGTAAGTGATGGCAATATTCCCAGATCTGTGTACAAGAGGACCAAGAAATAGATAACATAATTTATTCAACTAATGATAAAAAGTACAATTTACAATGCAGGTTATGGCAACATTGACAATGCATAAAAGGCTGCTAACAGACACGTCTTACCATTAACCTTCGAAAAAATTTTATTCACATCTATAGACTTTTAAAAGTATAATACCAGTGAAAAGTTTTACATTTTTCAGTAAAAGTACTAATTCAAATAAAAAGTGAAACAAAATTGTACAAAAAAGAGACATATCTTTTAAGATATAAATGCAATAAAGGAAGGATCACAGAAGTTTCTCTAGCATAGCCTTGCCAAGTCCTATACCACAAACAGGAAAAAGGTACTAGCATTCTTTCCGTGTCCAATATATAAGCTACATATGTACCATGTCAAGATACTAGTAAACTTTCTACATCCACATCCATTAATTATTTCTAATTCATTATTTATCAATCCATTTATATTTATTATACACAAATCTGATATTACCCATCCCTTTCATGAGCTACATTCACAGCTTTTAACTTGCTTGTTTTTTTAACAAATAGATATCACAGAAAAGGCAAACAGAACTTGGTGAGAATTAAGATAGCAAGTTGCTTGCAAGTATTTAAAAAAAAAAAATAATAATAATAATAAAAACAAAAAAAATAAGGGAATAATTAAGAACTGAATAAAATACAGGGCATTGACATACTTATTAACTTTGTCATAGAAAAAAATGTTACCAAATGATTTACAGCTAAAGACTTTATATACTTTATTATTATTAATTTTATTATTATTATTTTTGAAATGCATACCAATCCTCCCCTTCCTATCCACTGCCTTCGCCTAACCCCAAATTTCTGGCAGTGACTAACCTCTATAGCTGGTCTTCCCTATATTGAAATCCTGGATCTCTTGAAAATTTAATAATTTGAAGTGCTTCAAAAAAGCATGTGGGTGCCATTAGTTAACATTCAGAATGCCAAGTATATGTGCTGCTCTATATATCAAGAATTTGTTCTGTCTCCAATTTTGGCATAAACATATCTTTAACTTTATCAATTTAAGGAAATATGCGGTTTTGCTGTGTCTTGTGTACCAGAAGTAAGAAATCCCAGACACGATCTCTAAAACATCCTTTCTACAACAATGACTACATAAGAGAACAAGCATTCCCTTCAACAAACACTTAAAAGGCATCTACTTTTGCAGATTTGGGCTTGATCAATTTGTCCAAGGCATTCTGGCCCATGCTTGCGGCCAGCTTTTTCACAATGCGGTCCTCTCCAGCCTTGACTGCAAGATCATATGCTGTCTCCCCTTTGTCATTTTTCTTATTAGGATTGGCACTACAGCTGTAAATGAAACAAACAACACCTACATTTCATTTCCCCTGACAATAAAGCACTTTTAACACATACTATTCACAAATTTTGCCTCTTTCATATTTTATTGTTTATTAATAACTTGCTGCTATTCAACACTTAAAATAAATTTAGTGATAGTCCATTACCCTAACAAATAACATCAAGGACTAAATTCTTGGGCTTATTTCACAAAATAAATTTAAGCACCCCCCCCCCCCAAAAAAAAA